CATATATTGCTTCATTGCAAGATACTAATCGGGATATTTGTTTACCTATCTACCCACCTACATGTCTCTGTGAAACATTTATCTTTGAAGGGCAAAAATAACTAACTCTGTATACTGCCATTGGTGGAAAAGTCTTTTCTCCTTTTAGTCCATTTGTCCCATCACACAAACTTTCCTACTTTTGAAGTAGCATTCTATATTATTATTTAGAGTAATTTTAGGAAGGAAGCCAAATTCAATGTATTGAGAATTTCCAGAATGAGAATGATATGAAATTTGGGTGTCTTCAGATGAGAAACAAGCTACGTGTTATTGACTTTAAAAGTTGGAGATTGCTCTTCCGAAAATATGCAGTATCACTGTATGAGAAGATAAGGTGATTGCTGACCATGTAGGGGGAGCTGAAGCTGCCAAATGACATTTTCGTCCCCAGAAACATCTTGTTACAGAGGCAAAGTCCCTGGGAGGAGTAAAGTTCACTAATTTATCATGTCTAGCAAAATGTCTTGTTCAGAGAAGGTGCTCAGTTATTACTAAGTGAATCTGTTAGCACAGGTGGCAGGTAACACAGGTTGTCATCTTGGGACACATGAACATGGCAGTGGAGACATCATCACCTACCAGGCACAGTGCTGTGGGCTTTATGGATTCTGCCCGCCCTTATTTCCTAAGGCTAAGAAAGATGCCTTCCACTGGACTCTTACAGCACCTAGGGTCTACTCATCTCTCTGCCTGTCTCCCACAAAATGATGATGAGTTCTTTAGGGGAACTGTCTTTAATCTCCTTCACTCTGCCCCCAGTCCAGCACCTGGTACATACTGGGTGTTGATGAAGGAATGCATGAAGGAATGAATAAATAAATGGATAAAATTCAGATTGGCTTGGGGTGGGAGAGGAGGCTGGGTATGGCCCCAGGAGCTGCTCCACTGAGGTTCTAGGGAGCCTTGGTGCTGAGGGTGATGGGGGAGGGGAAAAAGGCTTGGAGGGCAAGGAGAAACTTTTCAAACATGACTTTGTCTTGCGTATGAGAGTAAGTATATGGTTTTATTAAAACAATCTTTTCATGGCAAAGTGTTCATGTAGGGGGAAATGCTTTCTTCAATAGCTCATTGTCATCTACACCATGAGGCCCTCATTCTTAGTCTATGGTCTCCATCAGGTCTTCATTCCCACTCCCTATGCTGTGGCCAATTCTATCTGTCCCTTTTCCACTCCCCATCTTGTACAATAAGCTGCAGTGGAGCCCAAAGGCAGGCCTTTGGCGGACTTTGAACTCATAGTCCTGAGTTCAGGATCACCACTTACCACCTCTGAGTCCCACAATAGATTACTTTGTTTCTCTGAGTCTTAGTTTCCTCAGCTAATAAAATAATTCTTTGAGCCTTGGTTTTCTCCTCTTCAATAAAATCTACTTTTTGTGATCATTATGAAGACAGGTGATATAGAATATTTATAAGCCCACAGCATTGAACCCAGCAAGTTGGAGGCACCCAGTGAATGTTGGTGTGCACTCATCCCTTCATCCCTTTCTTAGCCTAGAAGGTCACCCTCCTTTTCAGACTTACCTCCTATTTACTGATTCTTTAGAGCCCGGTTCAAAGATCACCTTCTCCACAAAATCTCTTCCCACACCCACCCAACTTCCATGGAAAGTAACCTTTCCTCCCCTGTAGTCTGTCATCTTCTGAACACTTGTGGTACTTACCACTTTCTTCCTGGTATCTCAGTGATTGCTGTGTGTTATTTTTTCCCTCAGTCTGTAAGTTCTATGATCAAATCACCCACCCTTTACTCTTGTTTCCCCAAAGTACCTAGCAGAATAATTTGTACACAACAGGTGCTTAAAAACAATAAACTGAATATGTGTAGCACAATTCTCTATATTTAGAAATCATCTCTCAATTCTTTTTTGGATACGGGGTGGCATATATAAAGCATCTTCCATTGGGTCCACTTAGGGAAAACAACAACCACCAGCCAGACTTCATTACAAGTAGCTGACCTCACAAAACATCCAGAGAATTTCCTGGAAACAGTTATAAATAAGGACTTGTCACAGGGGCAATCACAACAAATTCCTGCTCAAAAGCTAGTCACAATTCTAAAATTGTGCAAATGCTTAAATGGAAGAGATATTTCTCAAAGGCTAGCTAGTCCACTGTGACTGCCCCAAACACCTTTGTCTATATTATACTTCCTTAAACTGTACAACATGAAAGTGACATAAGTCACAGATATTAGTTTTGTTTTCCAGTGGGAGGGGAGAGGCTTTTTGAGAGTTTGAAGAGGCCAAGCCTGGCTTCTACCAGGTCTGAGGTTACCGAGCTGGCTTTGAGCCTTTTAGATGGAGTACCAGATTTAGGTTTAAGCCAGACGTGGCTTGTCATGGAGGCAGCTGTCAAAGGATGTGATTTTAGGTGGCTGGATGGAGAGCTGCTATTCCAGAATATTCTTTTTCTAGTACTTGAGAGGAATTGCTATATATTTAGAAGACTTTAAAATCTTTACAAGGTTCCTGTTCTTAGCCAGCATTTCCAGAAAGGTTCCACAGGAGGCTTCATATCAGAAAGTCTGGGAAACACTGCCTACTCCATCCCTCTTTACAATTTATTATATGCTGCAGTGCACAGCCGCATATTGAGAACTCTGAGAAGTCACATGATAAAGAGATCTATTTGGCCAGGCACAGTGGCTCACGCCTGTAATCCCAGCACTGAGGGAGGCTGAGGCGGGTAGATTATGAGGTCAAGAGTTTGAGACCAGCCTGACCAACATGGTGAAACCTCGTCTCTACTAAAAATGCAAAAATTAGCTGGGCATGGTGGCATATGCCTTTAATCCCAGCTACTCAGGAGGCTGAGGCAGGAGAATTGCCTGAACCTGGGAGGTGGAGGTTGCGGTGAGCCAAGATCATGCCACTGTGCTTCAGCCTGGGTGATAGAGTGAGACTTCGTCTCAAAAAAAAAAAAAAAAAAAGGAAAAGAGACCTATTTAACTTAGCTCAGAAACTCTCTTATTTATGGGATCAATCTTGCTTGTTTTTTTTCTTTTTTTTTTTCCTGGTTGCAAAATTCCTAGTGTCATCATACGAAACCGGTATTTCATAGAACACACCTTTAAAATGCTGCCTTTGGAATTATTACCTATCACTGTAATGGGGATAAATTTTCAACTAAGAATGGGACACAAAGGGATATGTGTGAAGGGATGGGAAAATCAAGAGAAGAATGAAGTATGTTAAGGGTGACCATGGAGGGCCACCAAACACAATTTGACAGTTTTGCTCAGGGCCAGCCATAGTTCTCATTTCAGACATGATTTTGACTGTGTTTTCCTGCTTCCAAAGCCTAGTTGTTATCAAGTGACATAATCAGATTGGAAGTGGAATTTTTCATCTTCATCTGATCTTGAATTGTCTGGTGTAGGGAGGAGAAAAAGGGAACACTTGGATAACATTTGCTCAGATGGATGTGAGAAGAGGAAGGAAAGAAGGGGATGGCAGGGAAACAGAAGGTACGTGGGAGGTAGGACATTAATGATAGACCGTAATGGACAGGATGGAGGAAAAAGAGAAAGTAACGGGCTTGACAGGTCAGGCAGATGCTAACAAACCCACCCCCGTAAGCCAAGAATAAAATAACAGCTGGGACAGGAGCCTTCCTTAAAGGTATAACCAGCTCTTTCTATTCCTTGGTAGCAGGTACTCATTCCTACATGTAGGGTTCTGCCGTTGGACCTCTTGCTGCCCCTGGGTCTACATTTCCCCAAGCTGTTGGTAGGGCCCATTCTGAGATCCTAGTAGTGGCCTGCTGTTTTAGAAAATATTACAGTTGTTAATTTAGAGCATGGGGCTAGCAATAGAGAAGGGCCTAGGTGTTGTGCAAAAGCTAGAGTAGAGAGGGGCTGGGAAGGGGCTTCCTCTCACCCAGGGTTGTAAGATGTTCCACTTCTTGCATGCAAAGCAACTAGGAGATCTTTGACAAGCTAAGGCAGCTTAGAAATATTAGAAGCTGAAAGCAAGATATGCAACACATTTGGGAGTTTCTCTCTCACGCTGAAGAATAAAATGAACTGATTCCTCTACTAGGGTACTTTTCGCTTTCTTGTCAGTATCCATGTAAAAGTCATGTAAAAACGTTAATGTTTTCATAACTTACAAATATTGTATATTATTCAAAAGGTCATAGCATGTATGGGATGAAATAGGGGATAAGGCAATAGGACAACTCCCTTAACAAGAATTCAAAATTTTCACATTCCTGTTCCATGGCGAACCTAAATCAGAAAAGAGATTCTTCCTGGGACAAGGCTGTGTTCTGGATGCCTGGAATTCATTGATAAATACATTTTAAATAAATCTCTACTCAGAGAAAATGGTTAAAATGATATGCCTATCCTCATGGTGTGGGAACCCTTATGTAGACAATGCTACTGGCTGGAATGGTGGACCCAGCTTCTCAAAGTAAGGCTTTTATCTGATACATTAGGGACTGCAGGGCCTGAGGGCATGAGCCTAGAGTTCTCTGCATCAGAATCAGGTGTCTAGCTGGTTCTGGGTACAGAAGTTATGTCAGATCTTTCATTCCTTTGCCTACATCAGAAAATCACCAGAACATATGTCCCCCTCTGAAATAAAGGGCATATTAGAAAAGTGTTGGATGAATGTTTCTATATGTTTTGTGAGCATGTGGGGGAAAAGTACTGGCGCAGTAGGTGTTTGTGTTTACATTACTGACACCATTTCTCTGAGTGTATTATATAATTATGATGGTTTGAATTGTTTGAATGGAATAACATGATTACCCATGGTATTGCACGTCTCCAATTCCAAATAAACACAATGGCAAAAACTAGACAAAAATGCAGAAAGAAGAGTAAGTCACACAATGTCACTGAAGTCATGCAGAGAGGGAAAAAAAAGAATAAAAAATGGGCAAGCAACAGACACCATAAATGAAAAAAAAAAAGCCAATGCATACAATTCTAAAATCATTCTTACCTTCTTCAGTCATTGTGTCATAATATTTTAGTTTTCCATATGATCCAAGTTCTACAACATCACAGTAAAAGACACAAAGATAAGGAACGAGCTATAATGCAAGAACTTTGCTTTTACACATTTTTAATTAATCAGATTCAGAGTTATACTGTCAAATTTTGCAATCGTAACTATATGGAGATGTGCAAACATGGGCCATGTGGCAGACAGCTTTCACGGCCCATTTTCTGAAATCACTTTAAATATATTATTCTCCTGGGGATAGAGTGTGCCCTGCATTACAGAATAGGGCACCGTTATCTTAACATCCGATGAAACAGAGTACTTGGCAAAGATAACTTCACCCCACGTCTATTGTAACCCTGTAATTTTTATAGAGGTGATACTCCAAGAGAAAGGGACTGAACAAGGACAACGTCTAGGCTCATGGGAGCTTGCAGACACTGCGATTCCTTGGCAGGGAACAGGAGTTCAAGATCATTTCACAGCTTTTCTCCAACAGAACCATTTCCTAGAGAAAAAGGAAGGCCACCTAGGAAAACCTAACATGAAAAACCACGGTCTAAACTTCCCCTTCTCTTCTTATCTTGTGTTTGAGACAGACAATGCGGAGTGCTCTGGGAGGAAAGGAGGCATGTTCCCAGGGAAGACCACCAGTTCTGATAGGTGACAGGGCAGCCACAGCTCCGGGACCATGGCTTTGGCGGCTGGCAAGGCAAGAACCAGCAGCTCCTCCTCTGTGTACAGATCATCAATGAACCCCCCTGTAATGGAAACCCCTGGCAGAATGTGATCTGTTTTGAGTGAGCTGGTGGGAGTGGCAGCTGTAGTGAGGGAGAGAAGAGGTGGGGGTGCACCATTTCTTTTTTCTTACTTCAGTTTTAAAATAGCAACTTTTATCTTTGTTTGTCTGAAAATTCAAGATTATTTTAAGCAATTTTGTGAGCAGGTTAAAAATATTCTTTTCTGGTCATAACATCACTCTCCCAATAAACGTCAAGACATTAATTAGACTCAAGAGATATTCCTGTGATTCTGCAGAATGTTCCCATGGCCCATTAACTGGGCCGGCTGCTGGGAATCCTCATACGAATCAACTTAAAATTGATGGGTTTTGTGTGTAAGATGAAGCATCTAGCTTAAAATGCAATAATAAATATTCTTATATTTCACATTTAAATGATACATCATTTACACATTTTTCATGTGCCTAGATTTTTATCTAAAACTGTTTTAATACACCAGTACAAAATTATATCTTGAGGAGAAAAATCACCACGTTTATGTTTCCACAAAGAGCTGTCTATTCTGGCTTTTGATGGACACATTACAAAAGATGCAGGTGCTTCAACAAGAAATTGAATTTTGTGTAAATAAAAGGAAATTTTTTTCATGACCTTTGGGGACTGCCATCAGTGAAATATATATATATATATATATATATATATATATATATATACACACACACACATATGTATATATATATATATACACACACACACATATGTATATATATATATATACACACACACACACACATACATATATATGCATATATATATGTATATTCTGGTATTTTAAGAACAGTATTATATATTTGACATTGCACAAGTTTGGAATTCTTAAATGACCTAAATACTTTCATAAATATAAAACATATAAATATGAAACATATGTTCCTAGTGGCTTCACACATAATATATGTGTTTGCATGTGTGAGTAATCTTGCAGGAGACTGACAAATCATATCAGCCAACTAATTGTTTTCTGACCTTTCTTCCTTCCCTGGGGTAAGCAGTGGAATAAGCAGCTGGCATTCTCTACCATTTGCTCAGCAAACAGAATGTGGGTGGCTCTGTGTTTGCAAAGTTGGGTGTAAACTATATTCTACACAGTGACTGTACACCATTGCATTTTTATAGATCCATTTTTGTAGATGCAAACCTCTCTGTATGCACACACCTGTTTTTATGTGTCAATCCCAACTGTCAAACATCTGCTTGTGGCAGATGATATTATTCCTCACCTCATCTCCTGCAGAATCAGGTATAAATACATTCACACTGTTTAATTATCGCTTTGTTTTTACATAGTTGGAATTGGAACTGTACATATTGGACAAAGCTCATACATTTTTGCCAATGTGGCAATGTCTAGATCACTTCTTAGCTGCTTCCTTGCATGATGAGTGGGACAGAGGGACAAGAACTAGGCAGAACATAATGAAAATGAGGCTAATGATGGTGGAATAGAATAAAGAAGAGTTGTGAAAACCTGAGTGACAGCAGGTAATGTGGCAACTCAAGGCACAGAGAGGCAGCAGAGGAAGGGAATGGTATCTGCCCACACAAAGGGAACCATGTTTGCAGCTTACTGAAGAAAAGTTAGAAAAGAATGGAGATGGAAACCAGCCTGCTAGAATACAGTCTTTAACACTAACAGCAACAGGATGGTGAGATGGTGAACTCAGCAGCAGCATCCTAAGGAGGGTGGGGCGGCAACTCCAGGAGCCATCCTAAGGAGGGTGGGGCAGCAACTCCAGAGCCAACTCTTCCCTGAAGCAGGGACTCCGGAGGCACAGGAAGAGGAATGACATGCAACCAGACATGCAACCAGGAATGACATGCATGCATAAACCAGAGCCCATCATGCACCTGGCTGGGGTCCTACAGGCCATGATGCCTCCTGGAAAGTGGCCTCGGCAACTGTCTATTGATAGCCTGTGGGCAGACCTGGTCTCGCTGAGAAGGCTTGGGAGGCATAAATGAAAACTCACTTGCATAGGAACATGACTTGCAACCAGCACACTCCCAATAATGAATAACCAAGGCACCTTAAACATAACTGGATTAGGATTCAAACTGGGGCTAATCCAAGGTTAGTTTTGGGGCTAACAGGAGAGAAGAAGTAAGGGAGTTCAACAGCCTATTATTTAACATCATCTAGCACTGTTCATTGTGTCAGTGACGCAAGAAGCAGCCAGAACTGGAAGAGCCATACATCACCTGTGAATGTCATTCTGGGTACCACCTGGAGCCTTTTCTCTCTAACATGTCTCTAAGAAGCCCATACAGATGGAGAAGAAATTCCAGAACCCTGTGGTCAGTGTTTCAGGTGAGCCTGTAATCCCATGGTGAATGCTGCCCGTCACAGAATCACACTCGCCTTCATGCCACTGTGGTGGAGCCCATGTCACTGAGCTGTGATGATCCCATGACTAATTTTCTCCTTTATGTATATTACTACCAGTCTAGCTCTGTATCATACCAGCCAAAAGAGTGATTTTTTTTGTTTTGTTTTAAATTTCACTTGGGGGAGGAATGAAAGTTGCCCATGAGATGTAACAATTCCCAATTATCTCACAGGGACAGATCTCAATTATAGAAAATATGGTGGAAGTTCTGAAAGGTAGGTTACGATCACAGAGGGAGGTGCCAATATAATTATATAGGAATTATCACCCTCGAACAGTGAACAATAATGTGCGATCATTACTGTGGATCATGCAGATGGTTCATAATGAAATGCCCAAGCGAGTCCCCAGATTCTGCAACTTCTTATAAATTCGCCAGCTAATTTTCAGCCTTGCTTCTTTGTGGTGTTGCTTAGCAATATCAGTGGTTACTGATTTCTGTCCTGTGAGGAGCTGACTCAGGCCATATTTCACCTTATTTTACATGCTCTGGATGATCAAGCAAGAAAAATGGGACCTAGATGTGCTGTTCTGCTGCTTTCCTTTTGATGTAAGCTAGGGAAGGGGAGAGTGCAGGATAGAATAGTCAGGTTTCCGAAAAGGATTTTCAAAGAAAAACGATAAGCAACCTAGACAAGAGAATCAACCCCAAACAATCTGCCTTTTATGAATATCTTTCTATTGTATAATTAAAAATCTCAATAATAATCTTAAGATAATTTTAAACATGACACGTTCTTAGAATATATATATATTTTTTCCTTTTTCACAAAGTCCAGGAAATAAGAGATGATATAGCATGAGGGCTGCATGTATAGTTTGGAGCCTTACAGACCTTGACTTGACAACCGGGTCTGCCACTTGCTAGCCATGAGACTTGGGCAAATTACCTAATTTCTTTGAGATTCAGTTCTCACACTTACATAAATGAGAACAATACTAGTTGTCTTCTAAAACTGTGGTGAGAATTACAGGCACTTAACCTGTAACTGGCAGATAATATTCACTAAATATATGGTAAGTATTATTATGACTTTAATGCATCAGTTGGTTATCCTTCAAATTAATCAGGAAGCTCCCATACGCAGTACTCTTCTGATCTTCACAAATCAGAGTAAACTTGGTATCAAGAGACCTTATCGCTACAGTGCAGAACAAGGAGATCTTGTAGCACAGTGGAAATTTTGGAGTCAATAGATATGGGTTCTAATCCAGACTTTGCTTCTTATTAGCAGTGTGACTTTGTAGTAAGATAGCCTTTCAAAATCTTAGTTTCCTCATCTGTAAATGGGCTAATTCTAGTACCTCCCTCAATATGTTGTCGTAAGGAGCTTCATGCTGTGCGTGGAACATTGGAAGTGCTCATATATATAGGACGCATATTCTATTACTGGGCCAAAGCTAGCAAGTGATGAGTTGCCCAGACTAAGATAATATGCCACAAGTGACCATCCAGGATTTGAACCTTGTTTCTAACATCCTTTTCACAAGTTTATACTGGAGAAGAAACAGGTAAAAAGAGAATGACAAAAATCATGACCAGTGATGTCATGCTAAAGGAGGTCTATGAATGTCATTTATATCCTTTTGTATAATCTAACATCAGGCACATTGAGATCTGATGTCAGCAACATTCGTATTATTTAAAGAATGTGCAACTCAGAGAAAGAGATAACATAACAATCATTAGGTTTTGGTTTTTGAAAGGAAAACTCAAAAGGGACTTTAGCTATTTAGGAAAGTGGTATTGTCCAGTGGTTAAAAGAGTGGGTTCTGGGGTTCAAGAATCTTGGCCTTGAACCCAGCTCTATCAGTTTCTGTTGTGTGGTCTTGGGTAAATCATTTAGTTACTATAAAC